ATCCGACGGCAAGGGCGTGAACACGCACATTGGCGTAAACATGCATGGTCGAGACCCGGGAAGCCGACAGGGTCGAGTCTTCAAGGACGAGCATGCGGCACGAGGTGACACGGCCAAGCGGGTCGAACAGGAAGGTCGGGTGGTCGACACACGCGAGCTCGAACGGGCCTATCACGTGATCGACACTTGCTAGGTCGATCGGGCAGCAGGACTAACAGATGGACGGTGCTCGCGGAGTTGAGGACGCGCATGGTCGAGGTCGGAGGAATCGAGGCTAGACTCACGATGCCAAGCAGATCAAGGCATGAGCAAGTCGAAGCGAGTTGGGTCGAGCAACGCCGAGGTGCGAGGCACGAGGCTATGCGCGGACATCTAGTAAGCCTCGTTAGACAAGGATTAGGTGACGGGGTCGAGTGCGGCCACGCATGCGCCAAGACGGCAAGAGTTGGACTCCTTAGAGGATTAGGAAAGCCAGACGAGGGAGATTCCAGAGAGGTGTTCGGAATCCTCATAAGGCTAGGACACGTGGGCAGGTGTAGTCACGCGCGTACAAGGTTGGCGCTAGGGAGAGTCCTTGAAGGACTAGGCAAAGGCAATGCGGACGAGCGCATGGGAGGATTCCTTGGCGGGGTAGCAAGGCGCAAAAGGGCGGCGTGGACGCGGAAGACTCTTTGAAGACGGCTAGGGTCTCTTTCCTAGACGGAGTTGGCAACGGACCGAGGACATCGCGCGACCGAGCACGAGGAGGAGTGCGCGGACGTGATGCGCGATCACACGAGGCGAGTCGTGCGAGCCGAGGAGCAAAGATTCTAGAATTATTAGTTATTTAGTTTAGTTAGTTTAATTAATTATTAGTTAAGATTAATTAAGATTAATTAATTAGTTTGGTTAGTATTTTGTTAGTTTAATTATTTAGTGCCGCAAGTTACATTTTAGATATTGTTAGTGGCGTGAGGTTGCATTAGGGATATTGCCGTGTGTTAGAATTAATGTTAGGATTAGATACGCTATTGGTTAGGGCAATTCATAAAAAGTACATACGCTATTGCACTATTGTGTTAACGAATTGCACAATAATGACCACTATATTGCACTATATCGGACGAACACGACCAAACTAAGTGTTTGGGTCCAAATTTTTAGATTTTTACAACTAAAAGCAATATAAAATATTAAATAAAATATTGAAATATTAAATGTATTTTCATAATATCAATTCTAAATTGTTTTGATTATTTATGTTGATTCGGTTAACCGATCAAATAAACCGACTGTTTCTTTAATTACTGTTTAATATGGGCCATACCGTAAATAATTCATGAACTTCGTTGCACTATAATGTTATATAAATTGCACATTAATGACTGTTGAATTCCACCATAGTTCCCGAATCGATCGAAATAAAATCATCGGTTTAAAATTTTATATTTCGATACGAATATTTATTTTTATTTTTGAAATATCAATCATTTCAGTTTGATGACGAATTTATTTTTAAAATAGCTGAATTATTTTAAATATAAATAAAAATTTTAACATCTTAAATATAGTTTGAGTATTTATAAATTAGGCACATAACCTACTACATTAAATTTTATGCAATTGCGGTTAAATTTATAAGATTTTCAAAACAACCCCTAAAGTTTATCTTATTTATAAGAGTGAGCCCCACAAATCAACTTCCTAAGTCTCAAAACCGTGAAATTCAGAAACGAGATGCCGGCACCGGCGCCGACCCAGGTGAACATATCTGCTATCAAGACGATTTCCGGCGGTAATATCTAGAGTATTTCAGACGGACGGCGTAGGAGGAGCAAGCTATGTTGTAAATATTTTTACCGGGGTTAAATCGAATGATTCGACACCGGGTCGTGTCTCACGAGGAAGGTTAGCCGGAATAAATTGCATGTTTATTCAATCACACAAGAGAAATTAAACTCCTAAATATTCTAATTCAAATGATTGGATTGGTTTCGACTACCAATTACTACGAAAATTAAGTAAGCAATAAAATAAATAGCAAGCGAGGATGAAGAACATGTAGGATTTAGGGAGCTAAGGAGTCGGGGATATCCGTTTTGGTTCGAATTGCAATTGATGGGCTAGTGATTGTCCAGTTAAGTGATTTGAATAACTTACACGTTCAAGTACTCATCCTCAATAACTTTTCGTAACAAGAGAACAACTAGAACGGCAAATTAACAAGTCATTTAACTTCTAGGCAATACAGTTACGAACAAGCCTAGCTTATGCGAGCCTATTTCGATCGACTCCTCCCCTTTCGGTTCTAAGAGTCGATTAACTTAGACTAGAAGGGGGTTAATCAACTAGTCCGTTTAGAATTAACAATGCCAAGTATGAATTTATCAAACCCAATTGAAACAATCGCAAGTTGAAGTGTCACCATTCAACAATTCTCAAAATCCAAGACAATGATTGAAAAACCCTAATTAAAGTTTAACTCGCATAAGAAGAACAATCAACGAACACCCATAATCACAAACGATTCAAAACTTCAATCCCCTATTCCCTAGCATATGAATTTAGCTACTCATCTCGATTCTCACATAAACATTCACATCAACCCAAGAAATCATCATCACACACAAATGAGAAGAAATACTTACGATTAATGTAAATCCAATGTCGAGAAAGCAACGAGAAATCCCAAATCCAACGTTAGAAAGGGAGTTTTTACTCTCCAAATCCAATCTAAATGCAAATCCAAGAGAGAAAAGATGTTTTCTATGAAGAAAAGTCGAAAAAACAAGGTCTGGAATGAAGAAAATATGCCCTAAGCTCGATCAAATACGACCCCCATTCAAAATCGCGAGAAAAACGCGTTAGTTGAAAAACAGGCCTTAGCGCCGCTAAGGGGTAAGCGGCGCTAAGCCTTCTTAGCTGGTTTCCTCTGTCCCGCTTAGCTGCCAAAACCCCGCTAACCACACAGGCCTTAGCGGCGCTAAGGCCCCCGACAGCTTTACATGACTTCACGGTTTGGGCTCGTTCGGGCTCGTCTGGTATCGGAATTCAATTCCGCTTTTTCCTACGCGTCGCTAACGAGCTCCTCTATTCAATTATGCTCTTGAAACCAATTTTTAAGGAAGAGAAACTTTGCCCAAAGCTCCTGACCTACACACCAAAAACAAAGAAAAACCGGAAAAAGAAAAACCGGAAAAACACACGGAAAACACAAGAAAAACCGAAATAGATCAAATCACGCAATAAACTACAAAAACGAATAATACCAACAAAAAGACTCAATATTGGGGAAAAAGAAAGACAAAAGGACAACGAAAAACACAACAAAAATGGGACAAACAACTCCCCCACACTAAAACCTTTGTTCGTCCCGAACAAAAAGAAATGAAAAGACACGAAAACAAGAAATCGAGCATGGATAATAGTTTCAAATAAGACAAGTCTCAAATTAATCAACTTAGTCGAGGAGAATTTCAATGGCCAATATAGCACACCTCAATTACAACTCGAATGCAACGCTTTGAAAAGACAAACTCTCAAGAACGGAAGTATAATATGTATATGCCTCACTCGGTTTCTTTCATGACTATAAAACTGGGACGCTCGAATTGGTCGATCATCATGCATCAACATAAGCTTGCTTATCATATATTCATACTCTAAAACAACCAAAGATCATGAATTGCAAATCAAGAGGACTTTTAAGGTTGCATTGTAGGCATCAACTCGAACACTTCACCACTTATCCAACATCAACATTATACAAACCATTCCCATCAAGACTCAATACAACACTTGCATATGCTCAAATTGAATTGCACTTCAAGTACTCGACACCTTTTTTTTATTATTATTTCTCTTTTTATTTTTCTTTTTTCTTTTTTTTTTAGGGGTTTATTTTTTCTTAACAAAATCAAGACGTAAGGACGGCATTCTCTAGGTTTGAACATTGGAGGTCATCCAAGTTACCTAGAGTAGTTTCCCAATACTCATTATTCGTGAAAATTTCCACAAATAAGCGGAGTAGAATCCTTTCCGTCCGTCTTGCAAGTTCCCCAGCTTTTTTTTTTTTTTTTAAGTACCCAAAATGCAACTCCAACAAGTAATACACCTTCTCCAACACATATCAGAAAAACTCCGTCATCATAGCAAATACACTGTCAAATCTCAAGTAATTCAATCAAATCGGTTGACGAGAAATACAGTTTAAGGCTCAACGGGCTACTGATGAAAATATAATATCAAGGGTCAATGGAAAAGGCTAAATGAGCTATATCAAAGAAATGCCTCTATCATATTCACAATTCACTACTTTAATCAATTCATTTCAAAATAAACTCAAAGCAAGTTCTGATCAACAATGAATCCGACCGATATATCTCGAGAAACAAAATAAGGCTCAAACCTCTCACAAGGTAATAAATGTCCGACAAAACGCAACATCAAGTTCATCAAGGCATACTAGTCATGATCATCATCACATCTCCTCAACATCATCAACAATCCTCAACAATCCTCAACAAATCTTAAAATCACTATAATCCATACTCGTGAAACAAACAAACTGACTCAAGAAAAGACACCCAAACAAAAACAGAGAATGAAGAAAACATCCTAAAAGACTTAGACCTGATCAACCATATAAGCACATAATCATGTAAAAACTCCTCCACACTTAAAACCGAACAATGTCCCCATTGTCGATCTTAACTTCAAGGAGAGTTAACCCATATAATTAATCGACAGAAAAACCAAGACAGAAGAACTAAGACAAAACGAAAATAAAGAGAAGGGAAAAGATACAAACGTACAGGGCACAGTGACTAGACTAGTCACTGTGAATCCGGAGGTGCTCGTGGAGGGTGGAGAAAGTCAGGCCCCGAACAATGGCGGGCCTCAGTCGCATCAAATCTCTCGCCCCTTTCGGATCGGGGCAACTCACTGGAATTCGGCTGGGGTGGGGTCGTGTGGCGGTCCTGCAACAACCTCTTCGTGTGAGCTCTCTCACACGCTTCGTCAACCAACTGCTCGATTGCCCTAATGGACATGCATTCCTCCACCAAATGTGCCTGCGGCTCAGGCAGGGTCTCTCGAACAGAGATGGCGACGGACTCGCCCAGCACCGTGATGTTCAGCGTCCCACTCTTGACATCGATCATCGTGTTCGTGGTCGCCATGAACGATCGTCCGAGGAGTATGGTGTGACTCGTC